CTTCCTTCTAACTGTGGCGAAAAGATAACGCTCAGCATTTCTGTCTTACTGTCACTGTCTGTGTTCCTCTTGGTCATCTTCAACACCATCCCGTCCACTTCATTGGCTGTGCCGCTCATTGGGAAGTACCTCCTCTTCACCGTTACCATGGTAGCAACGTCAATCACGGCGACAGTGTTCGTGTCGAACATTTACCACCGCTCGGGCAGTACCCACGACATGTCCGAGTGGGTTAGAGTCGTGTTTCTCCGCTGGCTTCCCGGCATCCTTTGCATGAGGCGTCCTGGGGACGAGGCTTCCATCGAGAAAGACCTTCACATGTCTCTGCCTGATCTTGAGGAGACCAAACTCGCCACGGCTCTCCAGTACGTGAAGATGAGACGGATGAGAGCCAGACGACAGACGGGCGAGGACCGGGAGGAATATCAGAAGTGCCCCGTCAGGACTATAGAAGCCCCCGAGGAAGCCAGGCCGGCGTTAGAGGGGCTGGAGTACGTCACAAGTTTCTTGAAGAGGCAGGATAAATGTGATGCGGTAAGTAAACAATTACTATACATCAGATATGACGTCGAATCAATACATTTCTATATTCATCCTTCTATATTCTACATCTACAAATGCATGTCTATATGCAACTTGCTAAACGCAAGGGTGACAAAGCTAGTATGAAACATTTCAAAGATAGCAAACAATGTGATATCATAAAGCCTATAATTATGCAGTCTTTTTTTACAACGGTAACGGCTAGCTGATAATGATTATGATTCTCCCATCGTATTTTTTTAATGACACTTGGAATTTGTAATCAGTGTTATAAATAATGTATCTTAAATACTGTTATGTCCCGGAGGGAAAGTTATGCACTAACAACATTAAACAAGACTGGCAATGAAAACATACATTGCCATGGCGACGGTGGTTGCTGTTAGGGTTATTGTTTGCATGGCACTGCCATCATTTCATGATTTTGAGGAAGCTTGGTACCTGTTATAAGACTAGACAGATACAGTGCACTCTTCCCCTGAGTGTATAGTGAACAAGCCCTGGGGTCACAGAAAGTAGGGCCATCCGGGGCAGAGAGGTCTTCCCAGGGGTTTCCAGGAATGTGGGCATAGATGTGGGTCAGAGCCTGTGGACATTCCATTCCTGTGGACAAAATGCCTGTACCATTCCTAGAATTCTTGAAAACTGCACACAATACTGTACCATTAGGCTCCTCCCTCAGACGTCGCCAAAAAGTGCCGTCAGCGAGTTTATATTTTAGAAACACAAAATAATGTTCAACACACTAGCATAACATCAAAATATTTTTCTTCATAGTTGGAAGAGGACTGGAACTACATTGCCATGATCATAGACCGGATCTTCCTGTGGGTTTTCTCCATCGTCTGTCTCCTGGGCACCGGCTGCATCTTCCTCGAGCCCTTCGTCACCGAGAACAAGGCAACACCGGCGTGATACCAACATCACCACTTACAAGAAACTGCAATGCGATACCACTTACAAGAAACTGCAATGCGATACCATCCTCCATCTTGAACCGAAGCAACTATCGTATACATTGTATACGCATCGTTATATTTGTAAACAAGAATTATAAGCTCAAATACCTATAGTAAATGACACGGGGCAACGTAAGATAATATAAACGAATCATGTTTAGAAAATGTTTTCTTATGTCCTGAAAGCTTACAAGATGGCTAAGTGCTTTGTAATGTACATTCCAAACTTACTGTTGTATAGAGCAAAAGTCACTACACGTGTATATGTCCGGGAGTAAAGTAAATGGTTTCATGTTCAGAGGTGCTTCTGGTTTGTATGTAAGTTTAGAGATAGAGAGGTATATTTTTAGAATAACTCGCAACATAGAGCTATGTTTGTACAACGATGTAGACTTTGTAGCCAAATCTTGTGGCAATTGAGGAAACATTGCGTAACACGGTACAAGTGATTTTACTCTTCTTTACATGATAACATTTGTAAGACATTGTAAATATTAGCAGTTATCGTTGAAGAGATTCATCAGTCACGTAAGTTCAGTAAGATAATTCTTTCAATCAGTGACTATTAAATCCTAAGGTACATACCTCCGAATTTTCGACGACTAGTCAGTTAGCCCTACCTACCTCTACTCCGCAAGGAGGCAGAGGGGGGGGGAAGATCCACGCAAGTCTCGTCCTAGTCTCGCGTTCTCTTGCGAGACTAGGATCATTCCGTGACCAAGACGAACTGACTAGTCGTCGAAAATTCGGAGGTATGTACCTTAGGATTTAATAGTCACTGATTGAAAGAATTATCTTACTGAACTAGCAGCTATCGGGTGTTAGGTTCGATAGCTTAACTGTTGCCATCATGTCGGCAGCCTGCACTTGGACTAATGACATTACAGCATCACAGTACAGTTACCTAAAACTTAAGAAAAAAAACTTTTGATCAGCTTGTTCATGAAGAGTATATATTCATAGTTAGCAAAGTTATAAGATCACCCAAAATATTGTGCAGCACCTTATTTTTGTGCGCCATTGGATACACTGGCATTAGGCCATGTTGATTTGGTTATATGGATGACATCCGCGCGCGCATGAATTTTCGGCCGTTTCAAAAAAAAAAAGTTTTCAACCATACTGTAAATCGTACAAAACAGTTGCAAAATGAGCAAAAATATACCGTAAGTTACAAAAAATAATAAATAAAAACTATACCAATGTCGTAGAATGCCGGATGCCAAAATCAAACGAAAAAAGACGAAATTGTAAAGAAATGAACTTGAAGACTAGATTATTCGCCAAACCATATTCTGTCCCATTTGTTCAACCCTCACGACCACGTAGATTTCATAATGAAAACGACTTATTATTTTTTTGCAAAACTTTTTTTTATTCGCACGCGCGCATCAGTTTTGGGGTTCTCGGAGGATGTCATCCATATAATCAAATCAACATGGCCTTACGTACTAAAAAGAGAGTATCAACGTCAATTAGGCTACCTATGGGCACAGTGATATGGATGTACAATAAAGAGACTATTGGGCAATGTGCTTCTGATTTGACCACCACTAAATTAGTGACTCGTATGTAACACAAGAGTTTTGAATAGATTTTAAAACATAGACAAAAGTCCACAGACCTGGTAAGCATCTAAAATATCTCGGAGTTCTAAAATCAATTCTAAAACGTATATGATATATGTGGGTGCACGGTTCAATACAAAAAGCGGAAGACTAAGCTCTATGTAACTATGAATCATGAATGAAATAGTTTCATATAAGGTTGACATATGTTAGTCAGGCTTCCCCTGACCTATTTAATACACATCTAATGCGATATTATGTCAGATTTTTTGTGCAAAAACTGTAAATGTAAGTAATTTTCTCATCTAGATTGTCATTTTCAATACCTTTCAACATATTAGCGCCGCTATTTCGCTTTTCCAACGAGAATAAGTTGCGCCAGGCCCGCTGTATTTTTAGGAGGCTCCTAAAAAGAATGTAAACAAACAGCGATTTTCGTTTGGGTATCTTCGGCAGCTTCCAACACGTTTTTGCGGCACAATGACGTTGATCTTTTACTCCCCAAATGTGATTATGAATCCAGGTAGGCATATAGCGCCAGAAAATGTGTACAACAACGATGTTTAAAATAGTGAAAACCTTACATAATGCCGCTTTAAAAGCTGCTAAATGACTATAACAAAGTTAGACAGGCCAAACCAAAGACTAGCAGACCACCGCCCAGTTGACTATTTATTTATTTATTTTATTTATTTATTTGCATCAGGCCCATGGCCCATATCAACAAACACAGTACATACAATTAAAAACAAATCTAAAACTATTTGGAGAAGACTAAGTCCACATAATGCCGCCAGAACGTACTGTGGCGGAAGGCATCAGAATGCACAAGGAGATGGATAATCTCATTGTCTGACGACATGTACAACAGACGGGAAACGAATGAGTGGGTGACTTTACGGCGTTTAGCGTCAAACGTGTCTGTCCGGTTCTTAGCAAACAGATAACTTGTACTTGCATACCTGCCAGCACAAAACAACAACTTAAAAGCACTGTGGTATGCCTCCCGTAGTTTGGATACTGCTCCCACACTATACATAGACCACAATTGTGCGCAGTACATTGGCGAACAGAACGCCGAGAACAGCAACATTGATCAGATCTATTGATCAGAAAGTGATGTATTTAGTAATTGATCCCCGGTCTTCAGTGATTAGGTCTCCGGAGGTCGATAGGAGGACCCAGGTGTGCGAGGGAAAACGTGTCCAAATAGATCGAAACCGAGCGGACTAATTATGATGAAACCAACACAGGAAACTGCGAAAGCCTGTTCGTTCCTACTCTCCAAGCAGAGGTTTGGGTTTTGGGGGTATTTTTAGTGTGTTTTTAGGCAAAAGAGAAACCCCCCAAAAAAGCCTAAAAACACACTAAAAATACCCCCAATACCCAAACCTCTGCTTGGAGAGTAGTTCGTTCCATCTATACAATCAATAGGTTTACGTAGTGGTTTACCAGCTAAAAGGTTCAGCTTATATGAAAGACACAGCCCGTCCCAAATCATAGTTTTTGGATAGATACCCGTTGACTACTGATCTCTTAATTAACAAAGGTACCGGTAGTGAATGCTACCTGAAAAGTCTGTTTTCAAAATCTATCCAGATGCTTGAGTAGCTTTTAACTCGGTATCTGAATATCCTGGCTATCTTACCTTCATTGGTATAATATTAGATCTCTTACTTTTAGTCGACTAGTCAAAATCTAGGTGATAAATTGCAAATTGCCGTGTTTCTAAGAGGTTTTATAAGGCTAGCATTTTACAGTTTAAGATTTTTTTTACAACATAGACGAACGTATACAGACCTGGAAGACTTTTAAACAGTTCGGAGTTCTTAGATCAAGCCTAGAACGACTAGATATGTTCTGCATGTCGGCACAAATAAAACAACAACATCAGACTAAAACACACATCGTAATCACGTCTTTATTGCAGTGCTGATGGTAAGTTCGAGGTGACGTCATACACTCGTGCCCAGGTTTTCTATGACGGCACGGTGCGCTGGGTCCCGCCTGCCATCTACAAGAGCTACTGTTACATCGACGTACGCTTCTTCCCGTTTGATCAACAGGTAAATATATACGTAAGCTGTTGAAGTACTCATATTCCTAGAACGTTATGGAGGGCTGTTTGCATGTGCAATGTACGGGAATGTCTAGAAGATCATTGTACTATGTTGCGCGGTGCTAGCCCTACCTGTCTATGGAGAGTTGAAGATAATACCCAATATACAGGTAGCCACTGCGGAAAACGGAACTCTTGATTAATGATAATGAGTCGATAAAAATACCAAGGGACCACCAGAAAGTGCCCACAATTACCAAACGCTCCTAATGCATAGGTGGTCACTAGTACAGGTTTGACTGTATGAATGTATGAAAATGTCATTGTTAAGTACTAGTATGCCACATAATAAATTCTATTGAAGAAGGTACAACGCATGGCATCTACTGCTATATAACAGTCCAGTCTACCTTACAAGGTAACCTGTACAGTATGAGCTGAAAATGAAACTTACATGTATCACATAATGTTTTGTCCTAGAACTGCTCGATGAAGTTCGGCACGTGGACCTATGACTACACTCTGGTGGACATGATTCCCTGGGGGGACCGGAAGGTGAACAGAGACGACTTCCGGGAGACAGGCGAGTGGGTCATCATAGACGCCCCTGTCTACCGTCACGTCGAGAACTACGAGTGCTGCCCGCCCTACGTGGACGTCACAGCCTATCTAGTCATACAGCGCCTCCCGCTCTTCTTCACCATCAACCTTATCGTCCCCTGCGTTCTGTTTTCCTTCATTTCCCTCTTTGTCTTTTACCTGCCGTCACGAGGTCAAAAGATCACGCTAAGCATCTCGGTCTTGCTCTCCATCTCTGTGTTCTTATTGGTCATCTTTAACACAATACCGTCCACGTCATTTGCCATCCCCTTGATTGGCAAGTACCTGCTCTTCACGGCGACTCTCGTGACTTTGTCTATTGTGGCCACTGTGTTTGTGTTAAATGTGTACCACCGCTCGGGCAGCACTCACCAGATGCCCCCCTGGGTGCGGATGATTTTCCTGCAGAAGCTGCCCACGATGCTGTGCATGCGGCGGCCCAGGAGTAAGGGGAAGGACTCGGACATCAACGGGTCTCAGCTGGAGCTGGAGGAGAACAAGATTGCCACGGCCATCAAGTACGTCAAGCTGAGGCGTCTGCGGATGGCAGGCAGGCGGGCGGAGGAGAAGGAGGAGGAATACGCCGGGTACAACACCAAGACTGTGGAGGCACCAGAAGAGGCCAGACCGGCGCTTGAGGGGTTGGAGTACGTGGCGAGCTTTCTGAAACGTCAGGATAAATGTGATGCGGTGAGCCTCTTAAATTTGTCACTTCTTTTACATCCAAGGCTCACATTTCTAAAGCAGATACACATTGCATGGAAACGTAGTGTACAAAATATTACGCGATGGATATTGCTTCTCGTCTTTACCAGACCAACTACGCTGGCTGAAGAATAGTAAATCTTGCCAAATAGGGTTAACAATCTGGTAGTTTTGACCACTAGAGGAGTTCAAATGTAAAACTAACGGCGGAATCACTCCCCGAGCCTCATTGACTCTATTTTGCCGAATTCTGCAATCTTTAACCCCCATAAGAAGGCCTGGTGGAGGCTATGTTATTTAAATCTTTGTCTATCCTCTTCCCATAGCTGGAAGAGGACTGGAAGTATGTGGCGATGATCATAGACCGGATCTTCCTGTGGATGTTCGTCTCGGCCTGCCTGGTGGGAACCTGCAGCATCTTCATAGAACCTTGGATGCAGGACGACATCCACGGAGCTGACAACTGACGTAGAACCCCGTCACAATTATGTCGTACGACAAGTTTACAACAACAGAATGAAAAGCTTCGTTAGTCTGTCGTGGATTTGTCGTGCAGACTAATATCTCTTCCCTATGATATCTAACGTACACGTGTGTAACATCTGATCAATGCACGGACGTTTTCACACAAAAATATTAATCCATTGAGCCATATGCATATGGCTAGAATGCATGTATGGAAAATAACCATGGCCGAGAAATACTGCATGGGCACGTCATTTTATCTGTGAAAGCTCTGTGATAGTGGCTAAGGTGACAAACTATTTGCAACCTGAACCTGTATGATAACGATTGTGATTCTCGCCTACTGAAATAAGAATGGAATACTGTAAGATATCGCCAGGTGTCTCATATACATACATGTATATTGCTGATGTGACTGATGTTCATCCTGAGGAAAATTATAGCATGACATGTCCAAACTGGGTTTCCTGTTGGGTAGTAATACTAATGTTGAATGGTAATGTGTATTGCAATATCCATACCATATAGAGTTTCATAAACATGATAAAGGAACTGGGTTATGCAGTTGGATGCTTAAAATATAATAAGTGATACTTCATAAGTATGTTTAATGTTTAAAATGTTTAAAAAAATCCTTAAAGAGGCCATTGTGGTAAAAAACTTTTAATACATATTGTAATTGAGAAGTCTTAGACAGAATGACGGTCATCATATGTCAGGTATTTCACATACAGTATGTGGTTTGCATGGGGATCCTTTTAAGCATTTAACACAACAGAGTAGGTTACCTATTTAGTATGACAATTCTAAGAAAGCCACACCACATCCCAAAAAAACTTTGTTCATCTTACATGTATTGTTAACATCTTAAACAGTTGGTAGGTAAAACTGCATCGTTAATTGTGTGATGTTCTCATCGCCCTTCTTAACCTGGAACCTCAGTGTGTCAGGACTGTCCTGGTCTTCCCATGATTCAACGTCAAGCACGTCGCCCTCTAGTGATTCTTTCTGGTATAACACCTCCAACATCTTCAGGTCATACTTGTCAATGTCTCCTCTGATGACAGAATATGCCTTGCTTCTTGCTCCCAGAGTTGCACAGTCCATGCCGTACCAGATATATGATGATTGGTTGGTGTGATGATAGCTGTCAGTGGCCTCGGAGCCACAACTTCAGAATATCGGAAGACCTCGGGGTTTTGGGGCACATCAAAGGATTGAACTGTTGGTGGGCGTGGCATCGATGATGTAAGATAAGAATACCTCTTCTTCAACCAATCAGGAAGCGGCTCTGGTCTGCGTGTGGTGGCATCAACATTGACTCTTTGAATGACACACCTAGCCATCACATCATTGGTGGAGTAATCTCTGATCTCTTCCATAGTCACCCAAGAAGTGTTGCCAAGGGAGCACAACTTCTCAGTAACTGTAGTTCTCTTGCCAGGTGCCAGGTGGCGATAATACGCGGGCAGGAACTCAAAACTTTGACCTCGTATGAAGATCAGTTTCAAATCAGGCTCTTTCTTGCTTTCTTCAGGCGGCTGGAGGAAGTACCGATGTCCGATCAGGTACGAGATCAGGGGCATCTGCCTGGCAATATTCCCCACAGGAACTTTTGCTTTTTGGTGAGAAAAATATTGAATATTATTCAAAGTCAACATCGAGCAAGGCAGCTTATTACAGCTTACAAAAAGGACAAGTTTACACCAAAGAGAAATTTATATAGTTTGCTATAAAAAGACAACTGACATACAAACAAGACTGCATAATCAAATGCTAGGTGTCGTATGCACTTTTGAAGTTATTTTTTCTATTCTTACCTAATTTGTCAAAATCTTCAAAGTCCCACGGCCGGAACACATGAGTGCAGGTAACAGTGTCCTTACTGACGACGTTTATTCCTGGTAACATCCAGTCTTTGGAGCAAGAAGAAAGAAAAAAGTCAGTTTATTATCATAATTATAAGGAATGATTATTATTGCATGCTCTTGCCCACTCCAGTAGTTATACCATTGCAACAGAGTCTAAAGGTACAGTATAAGTACCTGTGTTGAAGGGGAGAAAAACCTAAGCATATACATCCATGTTTCACTATCTACACACTGTATGCTAGATTTTTTTTCATTTACAAAACAGCTACACAAGTAAAGCTACTGGAATCCATAGTTATCACCTATCTATAATCTATGGTATCCATTGAAAGACCAGCCTTTCAGCAATTGCGATCCGCATTACCTCTCCAGGATTTTATATGTTTTAACAGTTTGCAGTTCAACATTTTTTTATGTCTCAATTTTGCATTGCGATTGTCTAAGTACAATGTATCACAAAATTTCAAACCGATATCCAGGAAGAATTCAGCTTTGACTCACCTGTGGCCAGTGTCTTCACCCTACATAATGCAGCACTCATGGGATGGTGAGGGGACAGCCATGCCCCCAGTCTCCGGCCTGCCACTGACAACATGCTTTCTTCTAGCCTGTCTGCACGAGAGAAACGTCACCACTGGAAGATTAATTTTGGAACGAAAGTTTGATGCCTTTCAAAAAAAAAAAATTTGTTGCTCATTTCGAATTAAAAATTTTAACAAGATGGATTCAATTGAACTATGACGCTCGTATATGTATGGATCCACTATATGACAGGTGCAAAGTTGGCGAAATCTAATCAACCGTTTGGATTTGAGGAAAACTTTTTGCCAAGGAACTTCTTACCGGATATGGTAGTTGTAGCTAATAGTGTTACCTAGTACAAAACTACGTAGGCTAAATGAGCAATAGGAGTAGGACTAGGAGGGACGTAATAACTACGCAGTTTGATAGCCGGAAAAAAGGACACAACAGGCGGAAGCCTTCTCTCCTGTACGGTGTATCAAGGTAACAAATTATGTGAGTTTCACATCTTGTCTAGTTTTGTCGTAGGGATGATACGTAAATGAAGGTCACGATATGATAGAAGATCATAGAAGTACAGGTAGTACAGAAGGTCAGGGGAAAGGAAGGAATTCACATGGAGGATCTATTCAAACTAGCAAGTAACCCCTATGCCACAAGGCTATCACCTCAAATTGGAATTGCCACTTGCTAAGTTAAATGTCAGGAAAAAATTCTTCAGTGTCAGAGTGATCCAGGAATGGAACAAGTTACCACCGGAGACGACAGTAAACAGATTCAAGAGTAGTATCGACGAATACATACGGAAGAAGATGACCATAGGAGATACTAAGGGCTATCCGCCTTCTGGCTCCTGATTTTTCGTCTCTGCAATTCAGGTAAATTCAGGTAACACGCCCCCCTCCCACGTTGGCTTTACAACTGACACCTGGCATTGCATGATCCTACGTACGCTGCCATCGATGTCTGTAAACTGTTATTTACCTACGAAAGGACAAGGACTACAAACCTTTCTGTTTCTGAGGCACAGGTCTGTCCTTGTAAACAAAAACAGCACTCATGAAATCAAGGATTGTTGCTGATCAAAGTTACGTGACACGCACTGAGAGAAAAACACGGAAGAGAGTCAAAGTTCACGGACTATCCCATCGTCAGCGTAGGGGTGTCCAACACATTCATAGTCGTTCTGTTTGATGTCCTTGCTCAGAGTCCACGTAACGTTACTTTTAAGTCGCCCGTTTATTGTAAAGTAAAATTATACTATCATGTCACTACGAGGAGGGCTAAGTCGACAAACATCAGGGTGACATTCGAAGTAGTTTGATCTTTTGTTATATTATTCCTGCCAGTTTTATTTATCGGCGTGCCTCATCGGATGCGAACATGGAACAGTGAATGCAGGACGACATCCACGGAGTTGACAACTGACGAACAAGTTACTACAACCCCGTCACAATTATGTCGTACGACAAGTTTACGACAGCAGATTGAAGAGCTTCGTTGATCTGTCGTGGATTTGTCGTGCAGACTAGTAACTCTTCACTATGATATCTAACGTACACGTGTGTAACATCTGATCAATGCACGGACGTTTTCACACAAAAATATTAATCCATTGAGCCATATGCATATGGCTAGAATGCATGTATGGAAAATAACCATGGCCAAGAAATGCTGCATGGGCACGTCATTTTATCTGTGAAAGCTCTGTGATAGTGGCTAAGGTGACAAACTATTTGCAACCTGAACTTGTATAATAACGATTGTGATTCTCGCCTACTGAAATAAGAATGGAATACGGTAAGATATCGCCAGGTGTCTCATATACATACATGTATATTGCTGATGTGACTGATGTTCATCTTGGGGAAAATTATAGCATGACATGTCCAAACTGGGTTTCCTGTTGGGTAGTAATACTAATGTTGAATGGTAATGTGTATTGCAATATCCATACCATATAGAGTTTCATAAACATGATAAAGGAACTGGGTTGTGCAGTTTATAAGAGATACTTCATAAGTGATACTGTGCAAAACCTATCTGAAACACTGGTTGGACAATGTTTAAAAAAAATTCCTTCAAGAGGCCATTGTGCTAAAATACTTTTAATACATATTGTAATTGACAAGTCTTGGACAGAATGGCGGTCATCATATGTCAGGTATTTCACATACAGTATGTGGTTTGCATGGGGATCCTTACAAGCATGTAACAGAACACAACACAACAGAGCAGGTTACTTATTTAGTACAATTCTAAGAAAGCTACACCACATCTCCAAAAACTTCGTTCATCCTACATGTTAACATCTTAAACAGTTGGTAGGTAAAACTGCATCGTTAACTGTGTGATGTTCTTATCGCCCTTCTTAATCTGGAACCTCAGTGTGTCAGGACTGTCTTGGTCTTCCCATGATTCAACTTCAAGTACGTCGCCCTCTGTTGATTCTTTCTGGTATAACACCTCCAACATCTTCAGGTCATACTTGTCAAGGTCTCCTCTGATGACAGAATATGCGTTCCTTCTTGCTCCCAGAGTTGCACAGTCCATGCCGTACCAAAGGTAGGATGATTGGTTGGTGTGATGATAAATGTCAGTGGCCCTAGGAGCCACAACTTCGGAATATCGGAAGAACTTGGTAATTTGGGGCACATCAAAGGGTTGAACCGTTGGTGGGCGTGGCGCCGATGATGTAAGATATGAATGTCTCTCCTTCAACCAATCAGGAAGCGGCTCCGGTCTGCGCGTAGTAGCATCAACGTTAATTTTTTGAAAAATTCCCCTAGCCATCAGATCATTGGTGGAGTAATCTCTGATCTCTGCCATGGTCACCCAAGAAGTGTTGCCAAGAGAGCACAACTTCTCAGTAACTGTTGTTCTCTTGCCAGGTGCCAGGTGGCGATAATACGCGGGCAGGAACTCAAACCTTTGACCTCGTGTGAAGACCAGTTTGAAAACAGGTTCTGTCTTTCTTTCTTCAGGCGGATGGAAGAAGTAACGATTTCCCAGCAGGTACGACATGACGGGCATCTGTCTGGCAACAGTCCCCACATGAACTCTGGCTTTTAGTGAAAAAAAATTAAATGAAAAGTCAACAGATGTTAACATGTACATGTACAATGCCTTCTGATTGAGAATCATGCTATTTTAAGTGTTTACCATTTGGACTGATTATTGCTTCAGTTACCTAATTATCATGATTATGGTTGATATGCTTTAAATGATTTGCAAAAGCACAGAAGAGACTTTTTGGTACAACAAACACTAGATAATCCATGAAAATTGTTATGTCACATTTTGAAGCTCCCTGGTCTGAGACATGCATGCTTATTTATTTAGTTAGGTTCAAAAAGACAACTTACATACAAGCAAGTGAGCTAGAATACCTTCTTTCGGTTGAGGCGACCACCTTCAACATTTTTGAATATTCTGTCGCCTAAACAATAAGCCAGTCTTATGCACTTTTGAAGTTAATTTCTCTACTCTTACCGAGTTTTTCGAAATCTTCAAAGTCCCACGGCTGGAACACATGAGTGCAGGTAACAGTGTTCTTACTGATGACATTTATTCCTGGTAACGTCCAGTCTTTGGAGCAAGAAAAAAGAAAATAGTTTATTATCATAATTATAAGGAATAATCATTACTGCATGTTCTTGCCCACTCCAGAAGTTATACTATTGTAACAGAGTTTAAAGGGTCAGTATAAGTACCTGTGTTAAAGGGGAGAAAAACCTAAGCATATACATTTATCACTATGTACACACTGTATGCTAGATCTATCAGTTACAAAACAGTTACACAATTAAAAGTTAGCCATAGTTACCACCTAACTATAGAATAATCTGTGACATAATCCATGGAAATACCAGCCTTAAGCTTTTAGCAATTACTACCCGGTATCTCCATTACCTCTCCTGGATTTGATGGTTCAAACAGTTTGTGATGCAACATTTATGTTTCATGTTTGCATTGCATTGCAAGTACAATCATTACTACAATACTACAACACAATGTATCACAAATTTCAAACGGATATCAAGGAAGAATTCAACTTAGTTTGAGTAACCTGTGGTCAGAGTCTTCACCTGACACAGCAAAGCGTTCATTGGATTTTGGGGTACCAGCCATGCCCTCAGTCTCTGGCCTGCCACTGACAACATGCTTTCTTCTAGAGCCTTCTGCACGAGAGAAAAACGTGGTCAGATTATTCGTATGACCAATCGTATGCGTGTGTGTATGATATGAACCCCCTACATGACAGATGCAAAGTTGGCGAAATCTTATCAACTGTTTGGATTTGAGGAAAACTTTTTGCCAAGGAACGTCTTACCGGATATGGTGGTTGTAGCTGATAGTGTTAGCTAGTATACAAAACTACGTAGGCTAAATGAACACTGTGACCAGGAGGGACGTAATAAGTACATGTATGCAGTGTGATATCCGGGAAAAAGGACACGACAGGCGGAAGCCTTCTCTCCTATACGGTGTATCAAGGTAACAAATTATGTGAGTTTCACATCTTGCCTAGTTTTGTCGTAGGGATGATACGTAAATGAAGGTCACGATATGATAGAAGTACAGGTACAGTAACACGCCCCCCTCCCACGTTGGCTTTATATTATAAACTGACACCTGGCATGATCCTACGCTGCCATCGATGTCTGTAAACTGTTATTTACCTAAGAAAGGACAAGGACTACAAACCTTTCTGTTTCTGTGGCACAGGTCTGTCCTTGTAAACAAAAACAGCCCTGATGAAATAAAGGATTGTTCCTGATCGATCAAAGTTACGTGACACGCACTGAGCTGAGAGAAAAACACGGAGGAGAGTCAAAGTTCACGGACTATCCCATCGTCCGCGTAGGGGTGTTCAACACATTCACATTCGTTCCGTTTCATGTCCTTGCTCAGAGTCCACGTAACGTTACTTTTAAGTCGCCCGTTTATTCATTACAATAAGTAAAATTATACTATCATGTCACTACGAGGAGGGCAAAGTCGACAAACATCAGGGTGACATTCGAAGTAGTTTGATCTGTTGTTATATTATTCCTGCCAGTTTTATTTATCAGCGTGCCTCATCGGATGCGAACATGGAACTGAATGCAGGACGACATCCACGGAGCCGACAACTGACGTACAACCCCGTCACAATTATGTCGTACGACAAGTTTACGACACAGTAGATTGAAGAGCTTCGTTGGTCTGTCGTGGATTTGTCGTGCAGACTAATATCTCTTCCCTATGATATCTAACGTACACGTGTGTAACATCTGATCAATGCACGGACGTTTTCACACAAAAATATTAATCCATTGAGCCATATGCATATGGCTAGAATGCATGTATGGAAAATAACCATGGCCAAGAAATGCTGCATGGGCACGTCATTTTATCTGTGAAAGCTCTGTGATAGTGGCTAAGGTGACAAACTATTTGCACTCTGCACATGTATAACAATGGTGATTCTCGCTTACTGAAGTAAGAATGGAATACTGTAAGATATTGCCAAGTGTGTCATATACATACACTTGATGTGACTGATGTTGATTTTGGGGAAAATTATAGTATGACATGTCCAAACTGGGTTTCCTGTTGGGTAGTAATACTAATGTTTAATGGTAATGTGTATTGCAATGGCTATACTATATAGAGTTTCATAAACATGGTAAAAGAACTGTCTTATGCAGTTGGATGTTTAAAATATGAGTGATGATATGATAAGTGATACTTCATAAGTGAAGTGGTGCTGTGCAAAAACCTGTCTGAAACACTGGTTGGACAATGTTTAAAAAAAATTCCTTCAAGAGGCCATTGTGCTAAAATACTTTTAATACATATTGTAATTGACAAGTCTTGGACAGAATGACGGTCATCATATGTCAGGTATTTCACATACAGTATATGGTTTGCATGGGGATCCTTACAAGCATATAACACAACACAACACAACACAACAGAGCAGGTTACTTATTTAGTACAATTCTAAGAAAGCTACACCACATCTCCAAAAACTTCGTTCATCCTTCTTGTTAACATCTTAAGCAGTTGGTAGGTAAAACTGCATCGTTAACTGTGTGATGTTCTTATCGCCCTTCTTAATCTGGAACCTCAGTGTGTCAGGACTGTCTTGGTCTTCCCATGATTCAACATCAAGTACGTCGCCCTCTGTTGATTCTTTCTGGTAAAACACCTCCAACATCTTCAGGTCATACTTGTCAATGTCTCCTCTGATGACAGAATATGCGTTGCTTCTTGCTCCCAGAGTTGCACAGTCCATGCCGTACCAGATATAGGATGATAGGGTGGTGTAGTTATAGATGCCAGTGTCCCTCGGAGCCACAACTTCAGAATATCGGAAGAGCTCGGGGCTTTTGGGTACATCAAAGGGTTGAACCGTTGGTGGGCGTGGCACCGATGATGCAAGATAAGAATACCTCTCCTTCAACCAATCAGGGAACGGCTCTGGTTTGCGCGTGGTGGCATCAACATTGACTCCTTGAATGAAGCACCTAGCCATCAGATCATTGGTGGAGTAATCTCTGATCTCTTCCATGGTCACCCAAGAAGTGTTGCCAAGGGAGCACACCTTCTCAGTAAGTGTAGTTCTTTTGCCAGGTGCCAGGTGGCGATAATATGCGGGCAGAAACTCATACTTTTGACCTCGTAATAAGATCAGTTTCAAAGCAGACTCATTTTTGCTTTCTTCAGGGGGCTGGAGGAAGTACCGATGTGCTATCAGGGACGAGATCATGGGCATCTGCCTGGCGATATTCCCCACAGGAACTTTTTCTTTTTGGGGAGAAAAATATTGGATATCATTCAAAGTCAACATAGAGCAACACAGCTTATTAAAAATTAAAGGACAAGTTTACACCAAAGAGAAATTTATGTAATTTGCTATAAAAAGACAACTGACATACGCATATACTAACAGGACTGCATAATCAAACGCTACAAAAGGTGTCTTATGCACTTTTAAAGTTAATTTTCCTATTCTTACCTAATTTGTAATTTTCAAAGTCCCACGGCCGGAACACATGAGTGCAGGTAACAGTGTCCTTACTGACGACGTTTATGTCTGGTAAAATCCGGTCTTTGGAGCAGGAAGAAGTTAAGAAAAAAGTCAGTTTATTATTATGATTTTAAGGAATGATCATTATTGTATGTTCTTGCCAAGTCCAGTAGTTATACTATTGCAACAAGTATAATTACCTGTCGTGTTGAATGAGAGAGAAAAAAACTAAGCATATAACGTTACATCTACATGCATGTTATCACTATCTACACACTGTATGTTAGATCTATCATTTACAAAACAGTTACACAAATGAAGCTATCCATAGTCACGACCTAACTTTTATCTATGATATAATCCATTGAAATAGTAGACTTTCAGCAATTACAATTCCCATTACCTCTACCGGATTTTATATGTTTCAAACAGTTTGTGATTCAACATTTTCATGTCTCATTTTTGCTTTGCAATTTTTTAAGTACAATGTTATGTATCAGAAATTTCAAACCGATATCCAGGAAGAATTCAACTTTGAGTCACCTGTGGCCAGAGTCTTTATCGTACACAGTGCAGCACTCATTGGATGGTGAGGGGACAGCCATGCCCTCAGTCTACGGCCTGTCACTGACAACATGCTTTCTTCTAGCCTGTCTGCACGAGAGAAAGTTTAAATATGGTCAGATTCTTCTTTTGACCCCTCGTAAACACACACAGTTACTCAAGCAACTTGTTTTGACTTGTCTACTTCTTGGACTTCAAACATTTTTTCTTAACTTATTTGCATATCAATCAATAGTTTGTGCTTATAAATCGGCATTTCTTACATGTCTTCAGTGTCACTGACGAAAGGTAGTGGATGCTACCTGAAACGTCTGACCGTTTCCAAAATCATATCCAGTTGCTTGAATAACTATTTTTTGGTGTATCTTATTACCTGGATGTCTAAACTTCACCGACGACGGACCCCTCGTATACATGTGCGTATGGACCCCGTATATGCAGGTGCAAACTTGGAGAAATCTCATCAACCATTTGGATTTGAGGAAAACTTTTTGCCAAATGTCAACAGCTGGAACTCCTTACCGCATACTAGTAATAAAGGAGTTAGAAAAGGTACGGGGTGGGGAGGGGGGTGAGAGAGGTGACGCACTACGCAGTGTGATATTGACAACATCGATAACAGGACATAACAGGCGGAAGGCTTCTCTCCCGTACGGCGTTTTAAGGTATCAGTGTATGTAAGTTTTGCATCTTGCCTACTTTTGTCCTACATGTAGGAATTAAAAGTAAATTATCAAGGTCAAGATAGAAGTATAGTAGGTAACACGTAACACGCCCCCCTCCCACTAGCCTTGGCTAACACCTGGTCGGATCTTCGCTAACGTCGATGTCTAGCTGTTATAATAATGTTATAAAATGATGAAAGGACACGGTCTACAAACCTCTCTAATTTCTGAGGAGCCCCACACGTACAGCTAGGTTTGTCCCTGTGCCCAGTAAAACGTTGACAGGACTGATACGTCTCACGTTTTGTTGTTGATCAAAGCTCCGTGACGCGTAGCCGTGGCGACTCTTGACTTCATTGCCCTCATGAAATGTGAACCAGGGTCAAGGCCGCAAAACACAGTATCAATGGACGCGAGTATAGAATGTAGTGCAGACAAAACTCTTGAATCCTGGATAGAGCGATTTATGTGAGACGTAGCCATCAGTAAACTGTGCTGTGGGGTATAGAAAGGTATCGGCTTGTACACCGTACAGTGGCGGCGGCAGTGGGGGCGTCGCCCCCCAAAAAATCATGCTGAAATTCTAGTGTATTTTCTCTTGATGTAAGGAAAAGCCAGCAAGCAGTTCGATTTCTACCTTAAAACCGCTTGTAAAACGCATTTTCCGCGCTGCGCGGCCACTTGAAATCTGAAATCACACGAACGCCGTCTTCTACATGTAGGTATTACCACGAGTTGTAAGCTCTGATTGGTTCACCCCCCGCAAACCTGCGCTCTGATTGGTTTATGATTTGGATTGTGAAGATTTCCCTGTTCGTACATGCGCGGTATTACGCAGTTCCGCGTTCGGGGTGAGCCGGCTACAGTTCCGTTGACCTCCGTAGAGGGCCAAATCAAAGTGGTCGTCATGGTGTTAAAAAACGATAACTATTTGCATCCCTTCAGTCTTTACGTATCTCTCCGGTATTCAACGAATGTTAGAAAATATCGAAACTCAGATCATAACATAACATAACATAACATAACATAACATAACATAACATAACATAACATAACATAACAACGCATCCATTTATTTTCGATACCTGGAATCCCATGTCTCAACATTTCTTTTCAACACTGGTGTTTTTTAACATAAAGCTCCGGCCAGTAGCTTCTTGGCAACTCTGAGAAAAGCTAGAGCAAAATAAAACAGATTGCGTCTGAAACAGTTGGCAGGTAAAACTGCATCGTTAACTGTGTGATGTTCTCATCGCCCTTCTTAACCTGGAACCTCAGTGTGTCAGGACTGCCCTGGTCTTCCCATGATTCAACATCAAGTACGTCGCCCTCTGTTGATTCTTTCTGGTATAACACCTCCAACATCTTCAGGTCATACTTGTCAATGTCTCCTCTGATGACAGAATATGCCTTGCTTCTGGCTCCCAGAGTTGCACAGTCCATGCCGTACCAGATATAGGATGATAAGGTGGTATGGTTATAGGTGTCAGTGTCCCTAGGAGGCACAACTTCAGAATATCGGAAGAACTTGGTGCTTTTTGGCACATCAAAGGGTTGAACCGTTGGTGGGCGTGGCACCGATGATGTAAGATAAGAATACCTCTCCTTAAACCAATCAGGAAGCGGCTCTGGTCTGCGTGTGGTATCATCAACATTGACTCCTTGAATGATACACCTAGCCATCACATCATTGGTGGAGTAATCTCTGATCTCTTCCATGGTCACCCAAGAAGTGTTGCCAAGGGAGCACAACTTCTCAGTAACTGTAGTTCTCTTGCCAGGTGCCAGGTGGCGATAATACGCGGGCAGGAACTCATATCTTTGACCTCGTATGAAGATCAGTTTCAAATCAGGCTCTTTCTTGCTTTCTTCAGGGGGCTGGAGGTAGTACCGTTGTCCTACTAGGTACGAGATCATGGGCATCTGCCTGGCAATATTCCCCACAGGAACTTTTTCTTTTTGGGGAGAAAAATATTGAATATCATTCAAAGTGAACATAGAGCAACACAGCTTATTAAAAATTAAAGGACAAGTTTACACCAAAGAGAAATTTATATAATTTGCTATAAAAAGACAACTGACATACAAACAGGACTGCATAATCAAACGCTACAAAAGGTGTCTTATGCACTTTTAAAGTTAATTTTCCTATTCTTACCTAATTTGTAATTTTCAAAGTCCCACGGCCGGAACACATGAGTGCAGGTAACAGTGTCCTTACTGACGACGTTTATGTCTGGTAAAATCCGGTCTTTGGAGCAGGAAGAAGTTAAGAAAAAAGTCAGTTTATTATTATGATTTTAAGGTCCAGTCCAGTAGTTATACAATTGCAACAGAGTCTAAATGTAAAGTATAATTACCTATCGTGTTGAAGGAGAGAAAAAACTAAGCATGCATTACATCTACATGTATAAGTTCAGTAAGATAATTCTTTCAATCAGTGACTATTAAATCCTGAGGTACATACCTCCGAATTTTCGACGACTAGTCAGTTCGTCTTGGTCACGGAATGATCCTAGTCTCGCGAGGGAACGCGAGACTAGGACGAGACTTGCGTGGATCTTCTGACCCCCTCTGAGGTATGTACCTTAGGATTTAATAGTCACTGATTGAAAGAATTATCTTACTGAACTTATACTATACGTGACTGATGAATCTCTTCAACGATCTACATGTATGTTATCACTATCTACACACTGTATGTTAGATCTATCATTTACCAAACAGTTACACAAAATGAAGCTATCCATAGTCACGACCTAACTTTTAACTTTTATAATGATATAATCCATTGAAATACTAGCCTTTCAACAATTACAATTCCCATTACATCTACCGGATTTTATATGTTTCAAACAGTTTGTGATTCAACATTTTCATGTCTCATTTTTGCTTTGCAATTTTTGAAGTACAATGTTATGTATCAGAAATTTCAAACCGATATCCAGGAAGAATTCAACTTTGACCCACCTGTGGCCAGAGTCTTTATCCTACACAGTGCAGCACTCATTGGATGGTGAGGGGACAGCCATGCCCTCAGTCTCCGGCCTGCCACTGACAACATGCTTTCTTCTAGCCTGTCTGCACGAGAGAAAGTTTAAACATGGTCAGATTCTTCTTATGACCCCTCGTAAACACACACAGTTACTCAAGCAACTTGTTTTGACTTGTCTACTTCTTGGACTTCAAACATTTTTTTCTTAACTTATTTGCATATCAATCAATAGTTTGTGCTTATAAATCGGCATTTCTGACAAGTCTCCAGTGTCACTGACGAAACGTAGTGGATGCTACCTGAAACGTCTGACCGTTTCCAAAATCATATCCAGTTGCTTGAATAACTATTTTTTGGTGTATCTTATTACCTGGATGTCTAAACTTCACCGACGACGGACCCCTCGTATACATGTGCGTATGGACCCCCCTATATGCAGGTGCAAACTTGGAGAAATCTCATCAACGTTTGCATTTGAGGAAAACTTTTTGCCAAGTGTCAACAGCTGGAACTCCTTACCGCATAATAAAGGAGGTAGAAAAGGTACGGGGTGGGGAGGGGGGTGAGAGAGGTGACGCACTACGCAGTGTGATATCGACCGTTGAACATAGATAACAGGACATAACAGGCGGAAGGCTTCTCTCCCGTACGGCGTTTTAAGGTATCAGTGTATGTAAGTTTTGCATCTTGCCTACTTTTGTCCTACATGTAGGAATTAAAAGCAAATTATCAAGGTCAAGATAGAAGTATAGCAGGTAACACGCAACACGCCCCCCTCCCACTAGCCTTGGCTAACACCTGATCGGATTTTCGCTAACGTCGATGTCTAGCTGTTATGATAATGTTATGAAGTTATGAAAGGACACGGTCTACAAACCTCTCTAATTTCTGAGGAGGCCCACACGTACAGCTAGGTTTGTCCCTGTGCCCAGTAAAACGTTGACAGGACTGATACGTCTCACGTTTTGTTGTTGATCAAAGCTCCGTGACGCGTAGCCGTGGCGACTCTTGACTTCATTACCCTCATGAAATGTAAACCAGGGTCAAGGCCGCAAAACACAGTATCAATGGACGCGAGTATAGAATGTAGTGCAGACAAAACTCTTGAATCCTGGATAGAGCGATTTATGTGAGACGTAGCCATCAGTAAACTGTGCTGTGGGGTATAGAAAGGTATCGGCTTGTACACCGTACAGTGGCGGCGGCAGTGGGGGCGTCGCCCCCCAAAAAATCATGCTGAAATTCTAGTGTATTTTCTCTTGATGTAAGGAAAAGCCAGCAAACAGTTCGATTTCTACCTTAAAACCGCCTGTAAAACGTATTTTCCGCGCTGCGCGGCCACTTGAAATCTGAAATCACACGAACGCCGTCTTCTACATGTAGGTATTACCACGAGTTGTAAGCTCTGATTGGTTCACCCCCCGCAAACCTGCGCTCTGATTGGTTTATGATTTGGATTGTGAAGATTTCCCTGTTCGTACATGCGCGGTATTACGCAGTTCCGCGTTCGGGGTGAGCCGGCTACAGTTCCGTTGACCTCCGTAGAGGGCCAAATCAAAGTGGTCGTCATGGTGCTAAAAAACGATAACTATTTGCATCCCTTCAGTCTTTACGTATCTCTCCGGTATTCAACGAATGTTAGAAAATATCGAAACTCAGATCATAACATAACATAACATAACATAACATAACATAACATAACATAACATAACATAACATAACATAACATAACATAACATAACATAACATAACATAACATAACAACGCATCCATTTTTTTATCGATACCTGGAATCCCATGTCTCAACATTTCTTTTCAACATTGGTGTTTTTTAACATAAAGCTCCGGCCAGTAGCTTCTTGGCAACTCTGAGAAAAGCTACAGCAAAATAAAACAGATTGCGTCTTAAACAGTTGTTATGTAAAACTGCATCGTTAACTGTGTGATGTTCTCATCGCCCTTCTTAATCTGGAACCTCAGTGTGTCAGGACTGTCCTGGTCTTCCCATGATTCAACATCAAGTACGTCGCCCTCTAGTGATTCTTTCTGGTATAACACCTCCAACATCTTCAGATCATACTTGGCAAGGTTTCCCCTGAGGAGAGAATATGCCCCGCTTCTTGCTCCAAGAGAAGCACAGTCCATACTGTACCAGAGGTAGGATGCGTGAAATGTATGGTCATTGGTGTCTGTCTCATTTGGAGCCACAACGACGGAATATCTGAAGCACTTTACGTTTGTCGGTGCATCAAAGGGTTGAACCGTCGGTGGGCGTGGCACCGATGACGTCAGGTAGGAATATCTCTCCCTCAACCAATCAGGAAGCGGCTCTGGTCGACGTCTGGTAGCTGAAACATTAATTCTTTGAAGAATTCCTCTAATCATCAGCTCATTGGTGGGGGCATCTCTGATTTCTTCCATGCTCACCCAAGAAGTGTTGCCTACATGGCGCAAACTTTCGGTAACTGTCGTACCCCTACCAGGCGCAAGGTGGCGGTAATAGCCTGGTAGGAATTCCCAACTCTGACCTCGGATGAATACAAGATCTAGAGCGGGTTCTTTGCTCCCTTCTCCAGGTGGTACGAACAGATACTGATTTCCTATGACGTACGACGCTAGTATCATTCGCGTGGTGATAGTCCACACAGGAACATGACCTATTGGTGAGCAAAACATAAACATTCAAATATCTGCTGCCGCAATAAATATAAGACAACCCATGTACAAATCAGCTGCTTCATTATTTGTTCAAACTTGTCGTTTTGTTTTCATTTTCGCAACACACATGATAGCAGAGCTGGATACCAGATTGCAACAAAACTAAAATATCTATCTTATGTGACCTCTATACTAAAAGTGGCTCTTTTTTTCTCCACTCTTACCTAGTTTTTTGTAGTCGTCGAAATCCCATGGCTGGAACACGTGGTTGAAGCTCACAGTTTCCCTACCAATTAAACGGATGGCTAAGGAAGTCAAATCTTCAAGAGAGAAAGAGGGAAATTGTCATAACATACATAAAACTACAGTTCCACGATCTCATACCTTCGCCAAGTGAAGTTAATCTTTATGACGCACAAATTATATTTTATTCCCCTGATTATATTCTCCGCCAAAAGACAGTCTTATCTTAACAAAGAATGCCATTCTAGCATTTCCTCATTAATTATGCAAATGAGGTCATTATTTGAATGAGTTATGTTTAATGATGTTCACCTTTACTTTACTTTCAAATAGCCTAAGTTTGAAGTTCCAGGCAGTTGCCACTGAATTACAATATTTTCTATCCATTTAAGCCTTCTCAAGTTATCGTATTTCTGGACACATAGACACACACACACACACACTGACACACACACACACACACACACACACACGAACGCCTACGAAAACATAACCTTCTTGGCGAAGGTAATCAACTCAAAACACTGAACCCAGCAATCGCTAGACGACGTTTAATATCTTTTCCGGATTTAAAAAAATCTTCAGAAGAAATTGAAAAGAAAACCTATGAGTCATCTTACCTATGTTTTCTCGGTGCCAGGGATGTGGCCCGATGTTTTCTGCTTTGCAAAGAGGACCTCTGTAGCTGTGCAGACGACCAATTGCAGGCAGTATTGCATGAGTAGCCCTTCGGCCTCCAACGGAAAACATTTTATGCTTTTCCACGCAAAAAGGAGAAACTGTTATTCAGTAGGTTTGTTTATAGGAATGTGGGTAAAAGAAAGAGCAAGAACACGGTTTGAAAAAAAGACACTACAAAAACCAACTATATATACCGAAGGACAAAAGAATATATTTTACTTTTTTACTGTTTTGTCAACGAAGACACACTGTGCTAAATATATGTAATATCGTGTAAATATTTTTCAATGTGCAGCTCTACTACCACATTTTGACTCCAAGATTGTGCAGTCGTTAACGTTTTTTTTTAAATACATCTTTGAACGCAATTCAGCTTTCTGCTGCAATGTTCGTGATTTTAGCAATAAAATGATTTTAGCAATAAAGCATTTTTGATTGATTGATTGATTGATTGATTGATTGATTGATTGATTGACAAAGTTTGGTACATGAATACTGTACAGCTGTGTTGGAACGGGAAGGGGATGTTGGTTTTGGCCGTGTCTATACGGAATCACCCAAACCGCGATTCGGGTAACTCACATTCCTCACATCTGGTCCACGTGCCACACACACCTGCGAAACCGTGTCCGAACATAATGCGCTTGAGCTACATTTATTGCTGTTTGATGATAACACGCAAGGCGGCGTGTTATTAATGTCAGAGGTCAACGACCTGCTTGCTGATGCCCCCCTCCCAGCGTATCTCGGCCGAATGCCGACGTGGTCCCGCCAGAGGCGGTGAAGCTCGCCCTAGAACGGACACATTATTTGACCATTACTGCTCTTTAAGTTGCTGCCACGTAAAAGTTGGTATTGCATATAAAAAAGAAATATCACTCCGTAATCCATGACCAGGCGAAGTCACATTGAAATCACATTGCGTTCAAACGCAAATCGCGATGCGGGGAAACCGATTCGAAACCACCTCTAGAAGTGGCTTGGGATCGAGGCGCTTTCAATGTGATTTCGGAGCGTTCAGATGGAGCCACTTGAAACCGGCTTCGGGGTAAACCACATGTAAACCGCCTTGGGTGATTCCGTTTAGACACGGCCTTTGATGAGTACTTTAAAGGCCTTTAACTACCCTAGAGTTATCTTCCAAGCAGATCCTAGGGTGGCAAAAACAGTATCAAATTGTCCACGCAGTATCCATTGGCCAGAGAGGTGGGTGGCGTGTGGACCCTAGCTCTCTGGCTGAATTTTATACTGTCTTTCGCCACCCTAGGATCTGCTTGGAGATTACCCTACAGGACATGGACAAACCGGTCGAACGACTGCGGTCCAAGGACACAGCACCTGACACGAGCTCTATCAGGGCCTACAGGGACAGCAGGTTGCTTCACAACAATACCCTTGTATATCCCCTTTGAGGAGTATCACCATTGCGCGTACGCGTATTATTATTATAAAGTGGTTTGGGCTTATGTTCATAGTGCCAAATAGATCTAGACTAGGTACGCCTACCTTCCTTAGTATCTGGCGAAAAATAAGCCAGCTGTTACTGCTTCAGATGCGTCACGGTAACACCCACACGTACAACTGACAGGTCAAGGTTCATGGACAAGGACTAATTCATTGTTTACACGGGGGTGTACTTTTTGGGCAACACACCAAGGTCATGCCACTGAACAGTCCCTTGGGAGGAGCACTTAAAGGTTTCACCAAGTTCGGTTTTCCTGTCATAGGAAAATAAAGTTTATCTGTGGGGACATCCTAGACTCTACCAGGCTTCGGGAGGCGGCTGGAAAGTGTAGAAATTGGCCAAATAGAGAGATAACATGCCAGGGGAGTTGGTCAGCCCAATTGTACTCTCTAGCGGACCAACTCGTCTGGCATGTTATCTCTCTAGTTGGCCAATTTCTACTCTTTCCAGACGCCTACCAAAGCCTGGTAGAGGCTAGGGTCATCCCAATGCGTCACATTATGAAAGCAGTGTTGGTCACGTAGAGGCTTAGCCTCCTGTGCAGGCTTCGGGGCGGGTGGGAATTTTGATACAGCGTTTTGAAGAGTTTTTAACGCGTTATTTTAATAGTCGGCCATCCTACAACCAGCCGCCAGCGAAGGTTCCATTCCGCCCACACTGTATCAAAATTCCCGCCCGCCCCGGAGCCTGCACAGGAGGCTAGGTCAACAGCTGACTGATCAGGAAGTCACGATGAAAACAGTCTGAAACTCACTAGCCTGTATCACAGGGTATTATTTAATATCCGTAGCTTTGCGGTTTCAAGGTTTCGGTGGGCTGGGCCTGATGAGAAATGTACCGGAAGACAACGAACGGTATTGAGTGGGTGTTTCGCCCTGTCACTGTGCAAAAAGCTACTCTCCAAGCAGAGGTTTTGGGTTTTTTGGGGTATTTTTAGTGTGCTTTTAGGCTTTTTTTGGGGGGGGGGTTCTCTTTTGCACTGAATTTTTTTCCCACGTTGGGTTTGGTGGGAAAAAAATTCAGTGCAAAAGAGAAACCCCCCCAAAAAGCCTAAAAGCACACTAAAAATACCCCCCAAACCCAAACCTCTGCTTGGAGAGTACAAAAAGACAGATATTGGTGTGGTTGTTTGAAACACTTTGCTTTGTTTTGAATGCTGATCCAGGTATCCTGATTATTCACAAACAATATCAGTAATGAGTAATTTGTTAAGAAGATATCTCTGCAAATTGCTATCAAAAATTGCTTTATGGTAGTATTTTTGAGATGACAGAAAGGGCTCACAATCGTACACAATTGCTCCGACAAAGTATCATTATTAACTACCACCTAGTATGTCCATCCAACTGTTTGTTCCTCAAAAGAGCAAATGTCAATATTTGCCCATGGCGACACGTTATATAGGTTACTTGAGGTTAAATGGTGATTACATTGTCGGAGGTATTCTGGAAACACCTAAACGGTGAACAATGCCGCAGAACTAGAAGGGAGGACGTAGTGGTTCCAGAATCAATGTCAGCAAATCTGTCCGCCACATTTACATTATCAAGAAGGGGCAGACAAGAACTTAGCCTGGTATACAGTCTTACGTGGTAGGGGCGAGTTTTCCTCGGGGCCATAAGAGCTCATTCCCGCCCGTCTCAGCTAGGTTTCCCGGTAGGTATTTCACGATGGGAGATTTATTAGCCCTACCACGTGTTGGGGCAAATCAAATCCCCAAGCATGCCATTTCTTATTAGCGTATCACTCCTACCGGGTCGACCTGTTGCACTGGGCGGGGGAAGCTATTAGAGCCCCCGAAGACACAGCCTGCCTGAACACCCCTACTATGCCCCAATCACCTAAGACTGGATACCAGGCTAACAAGAACTTAAAATCTACAAGATTTTTCGTGATCTCATTTTAATCTGGAAAACATCTGACTCCTCTTGCGCGCATGCACTTTTGAATGTTGCTATTAAAAAGGCCTTGATGTGGATTTTGAAATTTGACGAGTAATTTCTCAAAACTCTTAAGTTTCGTTCGTCTACAGCAGCTAGAAAATGGCCTTACATCAAGACCTTCAAAACAAGTACAATGTACCTGCATCTAGTATATCATCTCTTAGATGTCTATTTGTCTTATTTCTGGGTTTTCATGGTGTTCTGAACCCTCCATTGAAGCAGAGGTTGGTGGGGAAGATCCTTTCTATATGCCCCGTTTTTTTGTCGCTATCCCCACAAAAAAACGGGACATATATAAAAGTGTAACGAACCTCTGCTTGGGGGGTACTGAATACCGACATTTGGCATGAGAAGGGTTTTGATAGAAACTGTAGAAACCTGATCCGATGTCGACTAACTTCCGGTGAAGATCCGTGAAGTTTCGCACGTTCACGACTCAGCACTTCCACGCGCAGGGCACGCCGGGAAATATGGAGGGCGTTAGGAAGTTAAGGTGGGTCGGGGAAATACATTTCTACTTGTTTCTTGTCCCATTTGTGAAACGTTTTGCCCAGGAATGTCGTTCCTATCCTTGCCCTGTAACGGTCCAGCATAGATAGCCGACTGTGACAGCACCAGAAATGGTTTTCCCCAGCTATAAATCGGCGTTCACTGCTACTTGCTATTTAGCCGTGACCTTATTCTTCACTAGACTTCTTTTGCAGGCTGAATAAATCGTAGAAATCGGCCTAAAAACTGTATCAATTGGCGAGAGAAGGTAGCCGGCCATCGACGATCAAATCCAGCCTGCAAAAGAAGTCAGAGTGGTGGAGACTACGTGACCTCACGTCTTACCGTCTTGCCGGTCCCTTGACCGGGGGTGGTCGTGGGTACTCTCCAAGCAGAGGTTGTGGGGAATGATCGTTACCTTTTTATATATGGCCGTTTTTTTTTTCTTGATCCCCACCTGATCCCGTCGGTGGCTAATGGAGCTTCTCTGGCTAATGGATACTGTCTGGCCAACTTGATACTGTCTTTTTGCCACCGAGAGGGATCTGCAGGGGATCTGCTTGGAGATTAGGTCGTGGGGGCACCTAGTGGCTGAGCACACTGCCTTCCTCCATCCCTCCCTCACGGTCATGAGCCAGCGCTTGGGCACTGGCAAGGGGCAAGCCGCGAGCGGCCGGTCCACTCCTTAACGTTGTCATCCCATTTCTTCCTTTGTCTCCCTCTTTTTCTCTTCCCTGGTACTGTTCCTTGTAGGATAACTTTGGATAGGCCTTTACTTCTACTTCTAACCTCACGTACAGACGGTTAAAAACCTGATGTTCAACACACTACCCGGCCGGGCTAGTCCATTTTCAACCGTTCAAGTGTGTTGTAAGGAAAGTTAGGAAACAATCATGACAGTTGTGCCGTTTTAATGGCGCCACACATTCCTTTGAATGTTTACATGTCTTGCAAGCTTTCATCAAATAATTGTTTTACATATTCTTTTTCGTACACCGACTTGTGTTATCGTACAACAAATACTATGCATTAATCTCCAAGCAGATCTTTTGGTGGGGGTAAGACAGTATCAAATTGGCCAGTCTGTAACCATTTCCCCACCCAAGTTGGTGGTGGTAGCGACAAAAAAGGGGCCATATATAAAAAGCAAACGATCTTCCACCATCAACCTCTGCTTGGAGAGTAACTATACTAGTATGCCGATGCCACTTAATCTCCAAGCAGATCGCTCTCGGTGGCAAAAAGACAGTATCAAATTGGCCAGGCAGTATCCATTATCCAGAGAAGGTCCGCGGCCACCGTTGGTGGGGGTCAAGACAAAAAAAAAACCGGCCATATATAAAAATGTAACGATCATTCCACCCACAACCTCTGCTTGGAGAGTACATGTCACTGGAGTCTAGACCTCATTTACAATATCTGCCAAAACAGTCTTCCTGGCGACTAGATTGATAAGTAGTTTAATATGCAAGTCGACAAAGTGTAATAATCGCCGAAGCCAGTGTTGACCAGAAGGATTTACATACACTAATCCGTCAACTCAGCGCTTTAGCAAGGCGCGAAATCTTGGGGATCCCCGAACCCAAGTGTTCTGAGAAGTCCGGGGATCTTGGAATCGCCCCCTGCGCACCGTCCCAGTAGGGAAGCGCGGTCACATGACGTGACTTCCGGTGTAGCGGGTATAAAGAGGCCTCGCCAAAACCGGGACTCAGTCAGAGTGTACCCGCAGCCAGACTTCAAGATCACGACACAGAAGACTTTTCCTTCTTCATACTTGTCTTCCCAGTTCCTCAGACAGTCACACAGGTAAGCCAACGTCTTTTCTTCATTAGTTATTAGTCTCGACCAGGCTTGGGGAGGCGGCTGGAAAGAGTAGAAATCAGCCAAATAGAGAGATAAGCATACCAAGGGAGTTTGGCGGCGGCGAACTGTTCTCTCAACGGACAAACTCCCTTGGTATGCTTATCTCTCTATTTGGCCGATTTCTACTCTTTCCAGCCGCCTCCCCAAGCCTGGTAGAGGCTATCGTTAATCCACCTTTGGACTTCTAACAAGGATAACCGCCTTGCTTCTACCAACCCTTTTCCTTCTACTGTGACCTAATTTAGCTAGATCAGATTAGATTAGCTAGATTAATAAGCTAAATGGGTGACAATTTTTGCTAATCGTTACACGGGATATTGTGTTAAATTCACAACCGATTGGTTACATAAACCTGATTTTTAATTAAAATTCACGGCGATGTTTGCTAGTTCTTACTAGGTCCTCATTTTGCCCTTTTTCTGTACGGACTGCGTACTTAGCGACACCAGTGATTGAAAGAGAGTATTTTCCAACTTCCTGAGAGTTGTATCCTGTAATTTCTCTGTAATTTCTCTTTTTTTTTGGGGCAATCGACCTAGTATGAACCGACTGTACAATAGATATGTCAGAAAGGGACGCTTAATTTATAACTCACTTCATGCGATCAGGCGATTCAGTGTTGTTTGTTCGGCCACCAGATGCACAAAGTCCAGTTTGGCGTCTCGCTACCACCGCTAAAATGTTTCTACAGCGTTTCAAAAAGTATAATGACAGTTTCCGAAGGAAGTCAGTCTCGCCCAGGCCTCACTAGTTTTCTGCCCACTTGTTGTTAATTTCCGGTCCTCTTCTGGTTAAATAGAGAACAAAACTTTTTACATGCATGGTGATCTACTTACGAGGACACCAGGAAATGGTTTAAAGCCACGAAGATATATTTGAGGAAACCCAGCACATTGACTGCCCTTGGGTGACTTCCAAGTAACGCGAAGTGCCAAGTGTACTGACGGGATCAGTCATCAGCCAATGAGAACAGTAGACGTCATAATGACCGGTTATGGGACAAACCACTTACTTGCGGGGGGACTACCACTTGAAACCAACAACCTGAAACCTTGTGGTAGTTGTAGTACGATGTTGTGCTAACCAGCTTCTCCCAGGCTTCGGGAGACGGTTGGAAATAGTATAAGTTGGCCAAATAGAGAGATAACATGCCGAGGGAGTTGGTCCACTAGAGAGCACACGGGTACGGCAAAATGTACTCTCTAGCAGACCAACTCCCTCGGCATGTTAGCTCTCTATTTGACCGCACCGTCTCCCGAAGCCTGGTAGAGGCTATTCAATAACTACAACCATGGAGCTTTCATAACAAGCTTTTTCTCGAAATATTCATGACACATCCTTTTATTTCCACCAGACATGAGGTGCATGTTTCGCCTGCTGGTGTTGTTTGCGGTGGTGGCGGTCCTGGCCGTGCCGTCTGAGGGCTTGTGGCGGCGGCGCAGGAGGAGACGTGCCCCGCCGCCGCCTCCTCCACCCGTCCACTGTCAGGTCGGGGGGTGGTCGCCCTGGTCCACATGTTCCAGGTAATCATAATAATTTGTTTTTGTCTAAGGCTTAGGGTTATGTTTTTACCTCAAGCCAACTAGCTAGTGCACGGGTATAATTTCTTTTAAATAAGCAAATTCAAGTTCTTTGAAATAGAGATTGAAATCAAAATATTATATTTGAATTTTTTCACATTTTCCGTATGATGTGAACTTCGTGAATGAGGTAAAACATGAATACAGGAATAGATTATTAGAGTATAATTGAAGGAATAATGAATTAACCTCGATCATTTCCTAGGTCTGACTTTTTTTACCTCCTGCCATTCTACCTGTCAATCTTTCCCAACCCACGTGGTGTCAACCTACTCCGAACAAACACAAGTGACACAAGTGACACAAACCTACAACTCAGTCACCCAAAAAAAATATTTCGTACCCGGAAGTAAAAATGAATATTTTTATAATATGATGCAATGTGATGTGTTCTCAGGTCCTGTCAGGGCGGGACCCAGGCCCGTACCCGCGCCATTACCCGTCATGCCGCGCACGGCGGCAGGGCGTGTCCCGGACTCAGCCAATCACGAGCCTGCAATCTACAGACTTGTCCCATCGACTGCATTGTGGGAACGTTTGGGAACTGGACACGGTGCGACCCCTGCGAGAGGAAGGAGGTATGGACATTATCATGAAAGTTCATCTGTGTTGGTAATAAGGCCATGTTGATTTGATTATATGGATGACATCCTCCGGGAGCCCCAAAACTGATGCGCGCGTGCGAATAAAAAAAAAGTTCTTTTCATTATGAAATCTACGTGGTCATGAGGGTTGAGCAAATGGCACAGAATATGGTTTGGCGAATAATCTAGTCTTCAAGTTCATTTCTTTACAATTTCGTCTTTTTTCGTTTGATTTTGGCATTCTACGACATTGGTATAGTTTTTATCAATTTTTTTTGTAACTTATGGTATATTTTTGCTCATTTTGCAACTGTTTTGTACGATTTACAGTATGGTTGAGAACTTTTTTTTTGAAACGGCCGAAAATTCATGCGCGCGCGGATGTCATTCATATAATCAAATCAACATGGTCTAATCATATTAAAATGTTGAACTTGTCTGTAACGTGTCTGTAACCGTACCTCTCGCGAGATAACGTTTTGAAGTGATTGGTCATTTATTATCCTGATGAAGGCTATAGTGGTTGTTGAAAATTTGATCTCTGTGTAACCCTTGTGTTGGAATTAAGTTCAACATTTTACTTAAAGTATGGACATCTTCTAGTATTCCTATTCTTCTTGTTCTCATTTCAACTTTGATAAAAAAAATGGACAGCAAAGATACCTACAAAGTTTGATAGAATGAAACTGATATTTACAGTTGAAACTAATGAAGATATGAGACTCGGTGAACGGTTTTGAGACATTTATCAAACTAAGTTAAATGTTTTATTTCATAGTCAATTGCGAGGTTTTTTTTTTCATTTTTGTTGGGCCGCAGCAGCTAGCTGCCCATCTTTCTATCATTTTGACTTAGGCCATGTTGATTTGATTATATG